CAGAGGGTTTAAACTGACGTTATGTTCGTGGCTACGTACCTGTTGAGGTTGGCCGAAAGTTGGCGAGACGCTGGAAAGGAAATTAGTGCGCTGGGTATCGATAGGTTAGGTGAGAAAAAATGGTTAAAACGGGTGGAATTTATGATCATTTTGTGGACGGGTAACCAATTCGCTGGTTCGCGAAAGCACAAGGAAGACGCCCGGAGGAAAGGCTCGCTATTGGCAGGGATTTTTTTTAAAGGTTTACGCATTTAACATGGTGTCAGAAGACGGCGCTCGGCACTTCAAAGATCACCGGATCGATTCCCATCGCTGCGCAACTATCCTTCTGTGGTCATTCCCCGATATGGTTCGCATTTATCAAACCGTACACCACGGAGCGCAAAATTATATTTCGCCTATAATTGCTTCTGCATTTCGGAGGCGGGCCCTTCAGTAATTATGAAAGAAAGTGTGGCTCGAAACGCTTGTTGATGAATCTTGTTTCTTATTGCACCAATTTACCACAGCACGTATTCTGTAAGCAGAAAATTTGATTTTGTTCGAGATTCCCCCAAGTGCGAGACCTTTGCATGAATTTTTCTCAATTTTCAGGCGACAGGAGCGTCCATTCAAGTTGCTTCCGAAATGCTCCCGCAATCAACCGAACGGGCTGTTACTGTGTCCGGGACGGCCGACGCCATCATACTGTGTATGGGACAAGTCTGCCAAATACTGTTAGAGGTGGGACGCTTCGTCGGTTTTTCTAGAGATTACAAAATTTGCTCCATTCTGTGCAAAAAAGTGGGACATTCCCACGCCACTCCAATAGTTTGGGACTGATCCACGAGAGAGCCGTGAAAGGATAGGACTTTTCTGCACAAAATTCACTGCAATATCGCTTTTCAGCTTGTAGGCGCAACACAGCTTTTAAATTTTACGATTTAATGCGATATATACATTTTAACTATATACAGGGGGGGCCAAAAAAAAAAGACATTTTGCCTCCACTTCCAGATGGATTTAAGCACATTTTACTCAACTCAGACCGAACGGTTCCAACTTATTATTAAAGAGTGCATTCCATTCTATAAGAAAATCTTCATAGTGGCCACGTACGTGGACGGCATCAGAAGAATTAGCCCTGGAAACATGGTGCACTGGTCGATCTCAATGGGGTCTTCGAAGGATCGTGTACCATAACGACCCTTACTGGAAAGCTAGTTCCGAGGGGATTTGCACAGTGGTAGCTAATGCCTCTAGAAAACTATCCAACATTAAATCGATTCACGAAATTGCGTAAGAGCTTCAGGCTGAAGCTCTTACGGTAGACCTCCTTGAGCCTGACGACGGTGACAGATGACGTCATATTCTGAAGACGGTGAGGGCAGTGAAGGAGAGCCTGCGTACACTAATAGAGGAACACTTAGGGAATACTCTGCTGAGGAACTCCCGTCAACGACAGCAATCTCTGCGAAGAAAAAAGAGCCGAAGTCCGACATAGGCAAAATGTCTTTTTTTTGGCCCCCCCTGTATATTAAACGAATAGAGATGAATGTCTTTGCGGACCTTATGTAATCCTAACTGGAACGGAAGGTTTATAATGGACAATGACCTTAATTTTGCCTGTCAATTTTCATCTTGTTCTATTTGGAAAATATTCTCCGGATAAAAGGGTCGGAAATTTTAACGTAATTGGAACTATGGTGCTTTGGGGAACTCGTCCAGCAGGAGTGCAACTCGTCCACACGGTCTGACTCTGAATGCTACACCAAATTCAAATTGACTAGTAATCTTTACCTTGTCACTTCGCATCGTCGTCCTCGTCGTCTCGTCATCGTCGAAGGTGACAATCTCGGCCGACAGCTCGGGCACTCGTCACGCGTAATTTTATTGAGGCACTCGGCTGCCAGAGGCTTTCTGCCAATTTCAACCTCTCCAGGACCACTTGCAGCCATTCAGTCAACCTACTGCCCCAGCGGAATTCAAATTAGCCCCAATTGCATTGCTTCCTTGGATGGACGTGATTCGGGGAGAGTTCTCGGTGAATTGGGAAAAGGGAACCTAAGGCCTCCCCTTGAGAACGGAATGTCTTATCTCTTCGTAGTAGGAGCGAATTTACTTCTGATTTTCAATTGTTTGTGGCTGGGGTGAATTCTGGGTTATCGAGAACATCTAAGCCGGTGGCAGATCAGTACCGTTCGTCAGTGGAGTGCGCCACAAACATTACTCTCATCGTCAGAGAGCTGCATAGTTGATCAAATACGTACAATTTGAATAAACATGTTGCCGAACAACTGGATAACTTTGCTATTTTTGACTTGAAGGGCCTCGAAAGAGGGAGCCTCAAGCGCTTTTGGACACCATTTGACTCGACCATCAAAACTCGAAACACCCCTCGGCAGTCACGAATTGCCAACTTTTGGGCTCAGAAAATGGAAACTTGCTTCTGGTGTGTAGAAGTTTGTTCCAAGCATTTAAAAACTGATGAAGGCTCCGAATGAAAACTCTTGTGGGGGACTTTAATTGCACTGGCATTTCCCTATTTTCGACCAATCGCTGATGTTTCTTACTGGCAGAGGGAAGCGAGTTGAGGACCTATGTCTGTATTAAAATAGGTGGCTTTACTTGAACATCGTCCATCGGATGAAAGCTGAGGGAAAGGTACGTCTCATGGAAAGACACTGCTGGAAAACGCATAGCTCGTGAGTTCTCTGCTCAAATCTCGCACGAATATTCTCCAAAACGTGGCCTTTTCTATTTCGGAAACTTGCATTCTTTTGGGCAGTGCAAAAGGAACTGTGGTGAGCTGTCCCACGCATCGTCCGATTTGATTACTGTAACTAGCGTGGGGAAACCGCTTAACGCACTGGACGCCCACACGACGTGCTCTACAGCTATACACTAGCGTTGCTTGATTATTTCTGGTCAACATAAAATGCACATTCGACAATTCAGCTGCTACGATGTAAAAGCGCGAGCACGGCGCTTCGCTCTTTGCTGTGAAAACTCTGCTGCCGAACAGAAAGATAGTGAGGTGCTGACTCAAATTCCTAATTTGCTAGCCCCTATTTTCAGGCCCCACCGAAAGGCACCACGTTACCGTACCGACCGAAGCCGACGTTCAACTCATTGCTGGTGGCGAGTTCGGCAGCGGCGGCCGCTGCTGCCCAGCAGCAACAGCTGGCTGCCCTGCTACAACCAGCTCTCTTTCAACAAGCTCAATTCGCTCAATTCCTCCCGTCCGAGGTGAGTTTCGACGTTTCGTAGCGTTGTTGGTGGTCGTGACGTCGTGACGCGTACTAAATGTAGTTAAATGTTTCTGATGATGCCTTGTTAATCCCACGGCTTCAACACTCCCCTGATGACTTCCTTCTTGTTTTATCGCATGACGTCACAAAACAGATTGTTGGACGAGTTTTCCGTTGCATTGTCTTTCAGGTGTTCATCCCCATGTAATCCCCCATTCAAAAGCATGTAGCCCAGTCAAATGCTTTTACCAGAACGCTACTGGTATTTTTTTCAACTGTTGCAAATAAATGGTACGGAAACAAAAATCTCTCGGGCTTTATAGGATATGCTGGATAGGATCTGATGGGAATGTGCCCAATGCGGGTATTTTATTCAGTGTAAAGAATACCAGCTGGATCATTCCCGTGGGCTACCGTCCAGCATGACCCGTGGCGAGGGAACAACGGCGCTCCACTGCCCTAACTTTCCATGTGCTACTATCTCCTTCTTGAATGGGGAAAATACGCGGGTGGGCCCGCGCCGGTTTGGGACGAGTTTCACGTTCGAAGTGGCGCATTTTGGGTCTGATAAACCCATTTCACGGGGCGTCTACCAGCGAGATCGCGGTGTTGGGCTGTGATTCCGTTTAGATTTTTCACCCATAAAAGTGGTTCGGAAAGTGGTTAAGCCAAAACTGTTTTTGAATTTTCATGCCCACAACATGGGCGGATCAACGGGAGCGCAACAGTCACCCTTGGAAAGAACATACTTTGAGCAGTGGAGCGCTGGTTGCCCCATTCATCAGCACCTGGAAGAGCATGCCAAGAATCTGTTTGCGATGATTCCAAGCGTCTTCTTCTCACGCTGCACGGAGAAAGCCTGGAACGTGATTGTGCAGAGAACTCACAGAGTAAAAATCGAATTGTTCAGAGTTTTATGAGCGGAGCAGGTCGTCGTTAGATGGAATGATTCACACCGAGACTATATCCATTGTTTTCTGTGTTTTCAGCTGGCACGTGGTGTACCAGCGTCGGCGCAGTACGGGCCGACGTCCGCCTTCCTATCCACTCCTACCCTCAATCCCCAAGGTACTGCTATCATCTCTCACTCACTCTCACTTTCACTAGTTTCGTTCGTTTTTTCCAGATTTTCGTGCACTGATATACACATGATAAGTCCCTTATGTAAATGTGTATGCAGTTCACGAACACCCGAAAATCGCGGTTGCAGTGGTGACAGGCTCGCGAGCGCGCGGTCGCAACGCGATGCGGCCGACGGGTCGATCAATATTGGTTTGACGTGATTGGCGATCCATCGCTCGTGTCGCGACCGCGCGCGTCAGCTGATGTCCCGCAGGCGCGCTTGGAAAGGAGGGTGTGTTGCTTTTCAATGTTCATTATGAACTACTTCAGTCCGCACGGCCGCACATACACAACGTCTCTCCCTGTCGCCTTGAAAACGCTCCGCTAAGGTTTCCTCACTTAGCCGGTTTGCATGATGGGCTAGCCATTTTGAGTTTGAGCCTCCTCTCGAGCTGTCCTCTTCCCCGCAGAGGTGCGATTCAGCGGATGAGCGGCATTTCTTTTCTGAACGTAATCTATTCATACAGGCAATACCTCCACTTTTGCAGCCGTTTTGCTTTGACTTTTTTTTAGATTAAACTCGAGAAAAGCTAGGTGTGTAGAACTGTCTTCCAATTCGATCAGCAGCATCGCTGCGCGCGGCGCGACCGCATCGCAATACGCACGCGTAGGTAAACATCCTGTAGACCGCTGCACTGCTCAGCACTCAGAGAGCTAAACGAGTTGAAGAAATTCCGATTTCCGTTCATTCCGCTCACTTCGCACCCTTCCCTCCTGGTCCAGCTGGTCCGCTATCGTCTGCTGCTCACACCAGTGCCGCTTTACAGCATTTTCACTCTCTAAAACGCGATGGTCGTGTGTGTGCGTCTGAACCCCCGATTTCTTCCTTTCGGTTTCCACTCCCACAAATCCAATCCCATGCTCCTACAAGTTCACGGTGTATCGTTCCTATGTTCAACTCTTGCATCCCTGTCTGAGCGTGTGCTTTCTCGCACAGAACTGAGCTATTTCAAGACTAGCAACGTTCACAGCAAGTCGTGAGAGTCTCAAAAGGCGAGGTGCGGTAAGTTTGCGATCTCGGGACACCACAGACATCCGCTATTTGGCAGCATTAAGGCTCCCGAACAAACGTTGTTGTTCCCGAGCAGTGGTGGCCAAGCCGTTAGAGGTGCTTTGTTTATGGCGTCAGAGGTTCCCAAAAGAAGGATGAATCCCATTTGAGAATAGAGGGTTTTATAAGGAACCACATGAACAACAACTCTAGTAGTTTCAATGAAAGATCGAGCTTGGTTGTTTATTCTGCGAGGGACTGGAATCTATCATGTTTAGCCCAACTACCGCTGGGAAAAGGTTACTGTAAAAAAGTGCCGCTGTCACGGTCAGTGTATAGAGTCCCATGAAAGGTAGTCAAACGTTCTCATCTCGGTCGACACCTGGGTAGTGGAGGTATGTTGGCTGGCCGTGCAATTCAAATACTGTTAGGCATTCGAACCGTCAATGAGCTGGCCGCATCTCGCCTCCAAGAACATCTCTCATGGCACTCTCCTAGTCAACAGCAAACTTCCCAAACAACTCACTCTTCGGTAGTACTGTAGCGTAGGCTCAAGGTGCGGATCGCAGGCGATTTATGTGTTGTTATGCCTTACGTGAATTTCAGTGTACGGTGGCGGATTAATACTGGCCGGTGCCGGCTACCCGAGCGCCCAGCAGCACGCGGCCGCCATGGGTGGCGGATTCGGTCAGGACCCGACGAAGGCGTTCGCTGCAGCGGCCGGCTTTCTGAGCGACGAACGGCAGCTCGAGCTGATCAACCAGTACGCGGCACTCAACAGCAGGTAGAGAACACTAGGCATCGATGTGACATTCCGTAGCCAAGCTAGTGCAAAAAGAGAATATAATAATATATAATAAAGCGTTTCATAAACAAGAATACGAGAAAAGTCAGTTGCACGAATGAATTTGCCAACAAATTAGGTAGCGGGTGACAAAGGTGTCGTTTTCTTGCATGTGTTTCGAACTGAAAGCTCTTTTCTTTTGCCCCTTTGTCTCTAGACGCTTTGTTTGGGCAATTGCTTGGTTTGAGACGCTTTACAGCTCTTTGTCACTCTGTTTTACGATTTATACCGTATGAACTACTGCAGTGCATGTACTCTAGATGACTGCTCTCTGAGGCTGTTGAAGGCAGACGCGCGCGGTCGCGACGCGACGGGCCAACCGCCGCGTGTGCGGCCGCAGTTCGGCGTGCGCTATCATGCTGAAATGCAGTGGCCATCTAGAGTGCATGCACACAAGAGACCTCATTTAACCAACTGCCAATTTTTACCACCGTTCAGTGTGTTGATGGGCGCTCCGCTACTGAAAGGCGCCAACTCGCCGGCTAGCGCCGCCCACAAGGCAAGTGGCGCACGGTTCACTCCCTACTAACAGTGTCGTCGTCGTCAAATCGTCAAGTCGTCCGTGACGTCGTTCGAGTCCACTCCACCGCCGCACTACCACTTGCGCTCGCTCGCTCTCTCTCACTGAGTCTGTGTTATATTTCTATTTAAATGTATAGTCCATGTTATCTAATAATAATTTTATGATTTTTCTCTGTGAAGCATTTAACATAGTTGATAACAACAGCCACACACCACCTCGACTACCACACAAGCACAAAGCGCATTGGGAGTGTTATCAGCAGTGATATGATATGGTTACACGACACGATTCACACAGACAGAAGCATTCCATCCGTTGTACCCACGGCCGACCGCCTTCACTGACCGCAACAAACCGCGGTCGGAACTCCAAGAAGCAAAGCGATTCACGACAAGAACTCCGCAAGTAAAAGTGGCCAAAAGCAGCCTGGGCACAAGTCCTCTTCATAGCGATGCGAGGTCCTGAACACAGAAAGACACTGCTTCAAGAAGAAGAAGAAAGACGTTCTTGAGCTCATTTAGTTCAAAGCACCATAAGTTCTGATGGGACTTCATCTTTGAACCGCCCGCGGTAGTCACACAAAGGTCAAAAACCTGACGATACTGCATGTAGACAATTTTTCAGGTTTTTTTTATCATCAGAGTCGGATATTTTGGGAGACATCAGGAAATATGCCAAGCAGGCTTCCGTGGAATGATTCCGATGAGTGGAATGATCTGGATGGGTACTTCGGTTGTGAAGGAAACGCTCAGAAGATGCGAGGCGCAGCAATTGCCATCAAGTAAATCCTTCTATAGAAAGATTTCACAAAAATTCAAACTCAGGGAAAGGGACACATCGGGTGGTCGGGCGGGTTTCCAGTGGAACTTGGGTTAACTTCTGTAGGAGTACCAATTTGTTCACTGATTCGTGTCCGGCATGATAAGATAACACTAATAATGTCAGGGATGTGCAGATGTTATCAAACGAGGGCTGTCAAAAGGCCAGCGTGAAATCAAGACAAGCACTGAAGCAGGCATTTTGTGTAGGTTCGTGCAGGGCTGAAAGGACAGCCTATCGAGCCTACAAGTTCTGTCTGTCATTCTCAACGAGCAGAACGATATTTGATACGTCTTGCGACTTTCGTAAATGTTACTTAGTCCAGAGGAGCTTTTGATGGGTTCAATCTTGTGTGGGGCACCTAAGCATCTATACCCAGCTGAACCCTCTTGGGTGCACTCTTCCGTTGTTCAAAAACACCACAGAAAAGCAATATTGGAACGTTTTAGCGGCATCTAACTTTGGAAGACATGCTGAACCCTCTCGAGAACTGTGTAGTGATAGCGCAATGGCGTCAATGTTTATGCGGCTGTCACTTGTACGCGTAGGATCGGATCCACCTTGCAGCCGTTTTTTGCCCATTACCTCAATCCTAATCAGTTCCCATTTTTTTATGTACAGATTTGCCGCCTCTAACCCGCGTGGGATACGATTCAGCTTCGAGTGGACCAAATGAGAGCAACGTGAGATGACAAAATAGGCGGCCTTGATCGGCTTTGCTCGGTGGTATCGATGTCCAAGTGGAATTAGGTTTCGGCTCGAACTCAAACTTGAATTTAGGGTTGTGTTGAAGCTGCTTAGGCTTAAGCTCGAAACTCGGCTTGGGCTTAGGCTTAGGCTTAGGCTTAGGCTTAGGCTTAGGCTTAGGCTTAGGCTTAGGCTTAGGCTTAGGCTTAGGCTTAGGCTTAGGCTTAGGCTTAGGCTTAGGCTTAGGCTTAGGCTTAGGCTTAGGCTTAGGCTTAGGCTTAGGCTTAGGCTTAGGCTTAGGCTTAGGCTTAGGCTTAGGCTTAGGCTTAGGCTTAGGCTTAGGCTTAGGCTTAGGCTTAGGCTTAGGCTTAGGCTTAGGCTTAGGCTTAGGCTTAGGCTTAGGCTTAGGCTTAGGCTTAGGCTTAGGCTTAGGCTTAGGCTTAGGCTTAGGCTTAGGCTTAGGCTTAGGCTTAGGCTTAGGCTTAGGCTTAGGCTTAGGCTTAGGCTTAGGCTTAGGCTTAGGCTTAGGCTTAGGCTTAGGCTTAGGCTTAGGCTTAGGCTTAGGCTTAGGCTTAGGCTTAGGCTTAGGCTTAGGCTTAGGCTTAGGCTTAGGCTTAGGCTTAGGCTTAGGCTTAGGCTTAGGCTTAGGCTTAGGCTTAGGCTTAGGCTTAAGCTTGAGCTAGGCCTAGGCTTATGTCGGAGGTTTTTAAGTGTCCTTGTGAATGATGAGTTAGCAGGAATACCAGTCCAAGCTCTATTCTTTAAAGAAGAAACAATATTCGCACAACCTTCCATGGTCCAGATTCGAACCCCAGTCACTTGTTTGCCGACTCCCCCACATTGCTCTCCGCCGCCACGTCATTCGCGGACGATATCGTCGATATTCTCATATGGTCGGCGTACCAACGCATCATGCCTCGCTGGAGAAGCTCTTTGTAATACCGTCGGGCGCTTGGAAGCTTATGAGCCCAAATGCAAATTTCGATTATTGTGCTGCAGCCGCTGCATGAACTCTGCAAAAGCACAGGGTACACTATGGACCACAGTTGGAACCCAGGGTGATGATTCCGGAGGTTTTCGTGGATGAACGACCCTCCTCCGCTGAGCACTGAAGCTCCAATGTGAGGAAGCGCATCCTGGAATCCATTTGGGTGCGAAACCCTGCCTCGCGGGTTACATCGGTCCCAATGGGAACCTATTTTGGTTCCCATTGGGACCGGTGTCCCGCGAGTCAGGGTGTCGCACCCAAATGGCCCAAAGATGTTCCGCATCTCACGCTGGTTGAGAATCTTGTGATAAGCAATCTCTTTAAGTCAGTACGTCTACGTCAGTGCAGCTTTGAGCCCTTCGCTGACACTTTGCAATTCTCCGACTCCTGTCCCATTCTTGTTGATTTGTGTGCTGCACTCGTGAAGAGCCGAGAGGTGCATTTCTCATCGCTTTTTTTTTGCTTTTCAGGAATCAGAAGGTCCATCTTCATTCCTGTTTTACACTAATTCGGCTCCTGCTCAAATCAATGCTTTTCGCCTCTCAGACAAAGCTGTAAATTCCTCACTTAATTTGAAAGGAAAATTGGTCATTTGTTCAAGATTGACCAAATTGTTCGATTGTTCAAATGCAGGCTTTACGAAAAGAAAAGAAACGGAAAATGCCTTCAGAGTCGAAACAAAAAAAACCGTGCAGCGGTTGTGCAGACGTACAGCTACAGTTATTTGGTGTGATAATGCCAATAAGTAAAGTTGCGTAGGATACGGAGCAGTAGCACCATATAAGAGACTGATTGGTTGTGGTGATGCTTCTGTTTTCTGTGTGGCGCTGTGACGGGTGACGAGGTTATGGAATGGGTCATGTGTGGGCTATGTTGAGGTTCAGATTGGGGAGCTGAGGGTGCAGGGCCCGCACGGCCGAGTCTCCCCTCCATCGTAGTGCTGATTCCCGGCTCCCCCTGTGAGGAGGGGAAGGATGGTGGCACTTGAAGAAGTTGATTAGACCGGTTAAGCCGGAGGGCTCTCAGAATGACCGCAGGACACGGTGGAACGTCCGAGACGCAGTACGAGTGACGCCAGTGTTCAGTGTGCGGATGTTAGGTTCATCAAGCATTCAAAAACCCTCAATAGCGTGGCAGTTGTGGCGCAGAGCGATGTTGTCGCCTTGTCACGCGATCGATCCAGGTTCGGATCTGGACAGTGTCAACCGATCAAAACCAGGCCCGGCCCGTAGAAGGCTGGCCTTTCTTTTCTCAAAAACTTTTTCTAAACATTTGATTTTTCTTCTCTCAAAAAAAACATTTGTTGACTAAGAGGAAAGTGGAAGTAAAACTGCTGGAAACCGATAGAAACCACATCCTGACCGGCACAAGCTCAAATACCTCATCCGGTAAGGCCAGCCACCACAGATTTGACAGTAGTCCTCATCGAGTGACTGAAAAATTCCCAGGCGGTACCACTCATCTATGGATACCGTCCCTTCCGCACAGCCGCAAAGATCTGTGCATCCGCACAGTCCGAAGGAGCTGTGCAAACGAGCTGCGCACCCGTACGGTCCGTGGCCCGGTTGCTCGTGAGCGAGCGGGACAGTAGGTGTGCTGATAGCTGTACGATTCGCAGGAGCGTCGCAGCTGAACTAGCCAACCATGAATCCAACAGCGGAACAAACCAACCGCCACCCATTCACAAGTGAATCGTATCCCAAGCGGGTGGAGTGGGGCGATTCCCTAAATGAGAGAGTGCGGGCTGATAAATGTCGGTTGTGCCCCATTTGCAAGACGAAAGCGCTGACGACAGCGTGGCGCGCATCCACGGATCATGCTCGTTTTGTTCAATTTATTTGGCATTTTTCATGTGTCGAAACTGTCCGGACGCATTACCTTTTCCGGAAACAGTGAACGAATTAACAGTGGTGGAATTGTTAAAGGAGGATTGCCTCCCTTGGGAATAAAGTTGCCGAGATCGCACGCAACGGGCTATCGCCAATGTGCAAGTGACAACCCTGCAGTGGGCTCATCCTAATGCAAGACCAGAGTCATTCTGACGCAGTGCCATTACAGTGATAACGGCGGCGTTCCTTGAAAGATGAAACGTTGTGCTCCTTCACGATTTGGGAAAGAGTTGAGCTCGCGATTTAAGCACTTTTAAAAGAGCCGCGACATTATCGAAGGAGAACTCGCCAAAGATTTCTTACAAGGGAGGTCGTTCAGGGTGTGGAGCGCTTTTTCAAAACGGTTTTTGCATGCTGTAGGGGCTCTCACGGGGACTACAGAACCATGTTTCATTTTCGCTGAGCGGCCCCCTGAAGGCCAAAAAATGGTAGGAAATGGTCCAGGTTCAATCCCTCCTGATGACAAAATTTTTGCATTTGGGTTGGAGCTTCCAAATTCGCTCCTAATAGCGCCAGCGCCAATTAGGTGTTGTGTTCATCATCAAGACCATCAGTAAGTATTGCACGCGAATTTTAACCGCAATCCGGTAGAAAAATGTCGTAGCGCCAATACTTTCCAAATAAAGGAAAGTTCTACTACTGAATGAACAATGGCAGACCTCGAAGCTAGTAATGTACAGTAGGACAAGCATGATGTTGAAGTCGTTAATCACGAAAAAAGCGTTTTTTTTTGTCGGCTCCATTTGCCGCCAGTTTGGCGCAGCCAAATTGATTCCGCCAGTTCTTTTAAGAAAACCCATTCGCAAGGGCTGCTGATGGTCCTGATTGTGTGAATACAGCGTTAGTTTTGACGCTGAAGCAATTTGGCACCGATTCGGAGGTGATAATCAAAAACAAAAAGTTCGCCATTTGGCGGAACCGAACCACGAAGATGCCTTCTTCAAAGCCATCACGCTGTCCACTTGACCACCAGACCACTGTGAGCAGTTTTGAGCGAATTTCACTTTGTTCCCGATACCATCTTGATCAGGCCCTTCAATATGCAGGTGTTCTTTTCTGCAAGCCCGAAACGTCACTCCAAGGCTGCAAAAACCACCCATTCTTAACAATTTTTTCGACCCTTTTTGGCCTTCAGGGGGCCGCTCAGCGAAAATGAAACACAGTTGTGGTCTACGTGAGAGCCCCTACAGCATGCAAAAAACCGTTTTGAAAAAGCGCTCCACACCCTGAACGACCTCCCTTGTTAGCGTTTTTTTAAGACACTAGACCAAAGAGAGATTGTATTGTAAGCTTGTAAAAACAATTATGACACTTCAGTCGAGTACAGATAGGACGCTTCGGGATGTCCTACTATGTAAGAAGCAAAATGAATTGAGGCTTAAACAAAACTATGGGATACGATCGTCAACTGATGTCGACGAAGCGGATTCTTAGAAATCCTACATTTTCGGACTGCGGAAATTGAATAATTCTTGCAATCACAATAGAAAGTGTCAAAATCAATTCAGAGCTTTGCCTGTATCCGCAATCCAACTTGTCCTGCAACGTTGCAAACACGTAACGTCAACCTATCCACGTTTAGTGCTTTTTTAGGAACTTTTTAGGAACTTTGTCAGGATGTGGGAAGAGAGAACATGACTAAGTTTTTATTTGTCTCTGTGTAACCTTCAACATGGGTAAAAACAGCGCTATGTACACTATCACACAAACACATACCGTGTTAGAGGTGTCTCGGAGTATATGACAAATATGGCCAAAGATAGCAATAATGTCACCATTTCTAATTACCCGTAGGGATCAGAAACGGCGCTATCTCAATATAAAATATCTAAAAGAGATCCGAATACTGTGTCCAAACTCACATAAACATGCAGACCAGCCGTGGTCTGCTCTGAGTACCTGATTTCGTGGATAAATATCAATCGACTGAGAAATAGAATATGAATCGACAACCTAAAACGTCTTCGTCGCGTACACGCGACAGTCAATCGCACCGCCCACTTGGCATTCAATTTCCAAAAGATTCAGCCATTCCACCAGCGATGATTCGGACATGCCCAACCACTCACTCACCTTGCTGACAGAAATTGTTGGACGGAACCTGAAAATCAGACTGAATACGCTACAAACTCTTACACGAACAATATACAGTAGTGAAATTTGAATGCATCGCATCGACATGTGCAACACTCAGCTTACCGGGCAAAGGTCTAAGAGAATCAAATTTCACCCTTCTTCATTTTTGAATGTAGACAACTGTGAAAGTAGCAAAACATAGTCGAATGAACAGGGAACCCGCCACTGTTGGCACATCCAAAGAAATACTGAGAAAATTTGCGAATTTTTGAGCATTACTTACGCTTTGAATACTTGCACAAGCGCCGCTTTCCGCTCTCGTTCAACGAACAAATCCATCAGGTATGGGCACATTTTCGGAGCAGACTGAAATGGAAAGCGACAATTAATTGACAATGATGTGTTCAGGGCGAGAGTTAACCTATTTAAGGAGAACTAAGGAGTTAAGGAGAACTCGAAGATTTTGATATCAAGTTCTAGATCCTATAACATCCGGCTATTAGCCATCTGATGACGCGCCGTTTTTTGCAACTTTTGGGGCCTCTGAGTGTATCCGAATATCCTTTAGTCTAAGATGGGTCTGTAAATGGTTCTATTTCACGTTAGAACTAATATGAGCAGCATAAATAAATGTCCTTTATCTCGGATTTTTTCAGGCTGTTGCTCATTCATATTCACGATATGTGAGAGAAACAGAAATTTACCAGGCTGGTTAATACACGATCTCGTCCAGACTCATACCCGTCTAGACAAATGGAAAATTGGGGAACTCACGTTATATAATCTGAAAAGAGTTGGATAATTTCCCAGCGACACAGCCCGTCGGACTCGCATCGCAAATAAAACACACTCATCGGTCCTCAGCGAGTCTGTCAAGCCTGAAAATGAAGGTTCGATACTTCGTCTGCTTCGGTGCGTATACTATTATAAAGATACCAACCAATGATAGCAAAAAAGTGTTATTCCAGGTTGCGCTTTCGAACTAACGATACCTAACTGTGTGCCCGCATGTGACATACTGTACAGCACTGTACTCTTAAAGTTGGGCTGATGGATGAGAAAATATGCTTAACTCGATGTATTTCAACGAAAATACATTTAACTATGAAATTTCACAAGGGCTACGAGTAATTCCCTTTTGTCAATAACTATTTGATAGAAATCCGAAAACCAGTGGACCCTACGATATGCGCCACGCTGCGCCCACGTCTGATTGGACTCCTGCCTGTTTTAGAATCAAATTGAAGTCCACACTTGTCGAGGAAAAACAATGAACGCTAACTAAAACACAGCCAAGGAAAACGTTTTGGTGAAAGAAATTACTACTCAAGCGCACAGAGTACGGCTGCTCACAATTTTCGCTGTGCGGACGGTGCTGAATGTAACCTAGCGGTTCTCGGACCGATTGCAGATGTCGACACTTGACAGATGGTCATGATAAAAACAGAATCTACATTAACCTTTGTAAAATTTCTAATTTTCCTTTTTTGTTAAGAATATTTGCACTCAACAGCTCACATAAAGCGTTACGGAGGCGTTTTGCGACACTATATTATTAGATAGAACCCCACACTTCTGAGTCGCGCTTCTAAGCAATTTGCAATTTACCAACCTTTCAGAAGAGATGAAATGTCGAGGGTGTTCGCCATTGCAATATAGTACAGCAGACGATATGCTATGAACTCCGCTTCATTTGGACAGCCCGCTACTTCATTGTACAAGAGCTTCAATTGGCTTTGACACTGAAATATACAGCTGGTCGAAGGCATGACGTGAACAACTGAGCAAATGTTGGGCAATACCTTGTTGAATTCTTCTCGATCCTTATTTTCAAGAGCAACCCGAGCATTGATTTCGTAAACCTGGACCGTAAACTTGTTCCTTACCCGTTGCACAGTGAGATCTTGCCTGGAACCATAAACAGATGAAATACTAAAAACGAAGTGAAATTTTGCAAAGGCACTACAAGTTCACCTGATCGATCGAAGTTGATCTGACAAGTACCGATAGGGAGCTTTTGACCGGTACTTTTCCTTTACATTTTCCAACGATTTCTCCAGAATCTCAGGTGGTCGCACTTGACTTGGATCTGGCGCCTGGAAATGAAAGCAAGATACATTGATGCCAGTGTATTCCACTTTTGAAGAAAGCAACATCGGAAAAAAGGATTCAAAAACTGACCGCGGTTAGCCTGAAAAAGCTTTTCTCTATATTTTGGCAGGTACCCTTGACGAGTTTCATTCGCACTGGACGAGAAGCTGCTATAGCCGAAGCACTAGCATTGCGCGCATCGTCTGCAAATCTTCGCGCTCTCTCTTCGATCCTGTTGGAGTCCTGAATGTTGAAGACACTCACTCCCTAGACACATCGCAACATTTAATTGTAATTAATTCACTACTATGACAGTGAGAAAAAGTTCTAAATCATTATCTGGTATCACAATCAGAAAACCGATTTTAGTAGTAGGAATTTTTGTATGAGTTCAGAAACGAAGACATATTCACTACTATTTCTCGAATTTTCTGCCCAATGTTTATAAAAAGTTCCTCAATTAAGCAATACACACCTCTCCCTAAGTCTTCTGACTCCTCATAGGCATATTTAAGGTCCTTTCTTACAGTCACAGCAACTCATACTTGCCTAAAATAACCTTGCGTATTCGTGTCACCAAAGTAAACAATGCCTTGAAGGTACAAATACTCAAGGTTATTTCATGCAAGTTTTAAATCCTGTGATTGTAAGAAGGGACCTTGAATAAAGGAGCTGAAAGTAGTAACAAAGATTGGACGCGGAATGACATCAGACTAACTGCACCTCTTCTACATGCCAACGAGTAGTCTCCTTCTTCTGTTTTTCAGCATTTTGCTGCTTACGCTTTTCCTTTTTAGACAGATGAGCTTCACGCTTACGTTCCTTCTGAGACTTCTTCTTCGAAACAGTCGACTGAAATAAACATTGCAAGCCTGAATCGTCTAATATTCTCGAAACGTTAAATGGCTGTTAGTAAAGAGAACAAGTACTGTATATTTGAGCAAACCAATGATTACAAAACCCTAAATTGTTGACAACTTTCTAAAAGAAAACCCCATAAAATTCTAGCGCTAGTTCTGACTAAGAGAGTAGCGCATTTCGTTTTTTACAACCCAATAGAAAACCACCGCGCCGACACCTTGACTTTGATAACCTCCACATCGCTTGAACTGCTACTGCTACGCCGATCGCGTTTAGTGTCGGCTTTGGCGTCCGGCGATGCCGTCCGCTTTCGTTCACGTTTAGAATGCTGCGCTGTGGCCTTGTTGCCGATATTAGGCTGCATCGATGCACGTAAAGCAGCCACCGGTGTCCACGAGGCTGGAAGTTCGTAACCGCGTTCGTGGGGTAACGGCTCACGATCCCAGTCGATGGCGCGTGTCGTTCCAGCCTGCAACAACGGTCGCAGTCGCTTCTCCAAATACTCCTGCACCTTTTGACGGTCCTCGGCACATTGCGCCGCCAGATACGCTCGTTCCACATAGCGCCTGAAAAGTTGCTTCTGGTAGTTCCGATTATGTAGAATTAAAAACACACAAAACAAATGCAATCGGATATACGCTACAAATATAAGTTACGTCAAAATATAATAGAACTGTGCATAAAACAAAGAGAGAATCCAACAAATTACACGGTACGCCTGCTGGAAGAATCAGCCTGCGGTCCCCGGAGCTAGGGACACTCAGAAGCGGTCGCTCCCTGCGGCCTGCACTCTCTCACCGAAAAAGCGATAACACTAATACAAAACAAGCATCCGTAAGTCAACAGGAATGCGCCCAAAGTAGAGGGGCGCAAAGAGGAGGCCAAAAAAACCTAATGCACATCAAAGGTTAAAATGTGCGAGTTTAGAGTATCCCGAGAAGAGGGCACAGACAGCAAAAAATGGACTAGGGCCTGCACCTCATCTACCAGCTACCACATAGCGCCACATTTCCTGATCGCTAGAATCGTTCTTCAATACATCAGCGCCAGTCCAGCTATGGGCCACGCGTAAATTATTTTGAGATAGCGAAGCAATAGCACCATGCGTGGTGTGAAATCACTGCTACAAAATCCCGCATATTATTGAAGCTAAACTAGAACCAAACCAATGCATATTTTGATGTGGAGTTTCTGGCAAAGGAAGGAGAAAAGGATCACTGCGATAGACTCATACTAGCGTTGTAACGCAGAATGCTTGGAAGGCAATTGTTGAAACGTAACTAAAAATGAAAAAAGAGGGGTTAAAGCTTTTGAATGACAGTACTTACCTCACATTATCTGGCATTACACCGAGTCCGCCTGGTGACTGCGCACTCACGACGGAAGGCGCTTGTGCCGCCGCTTTCGGTGCTGTTGTGGGAGGTGCACGAGCAGCTAAGGAGAACGGTGTAAACTTCTTTGGAGCACGAGACTGCGGCTGCTTCTGTTGTTGAGGCGGTTGTCGATTATTCCACTGCTTCGTGTTGGTCCACTGTTGTGGCTGATTCCATGGAAGGTTGGCCGAGGATGTCGTGTAGTTTTGTTGCGATTGCTGCTGATACCCCGTGGCATAGTTTGGTGCTGGAGGATACTGCATACCATATTGCTGAGCCATCCACGGGTAGTACTGCATCATCAGAGCATGTGCATTCATAGCCTGCGAAGTAGAAGTAGGAGGTGGAGGAGGCTGATTATTTGTACTTTTTGTCGGAGTTTGCGTTCCAATCTAAAAAAAAAACGATGTATTGTGCAACTCTTTTGAGGAAACAAATGATGATTAAATGGAAAATTGGGGCTCTCGCTACTGAAGGGTCTAGGACTGAGGCCTGTGTGACCTGGTGAATCCCCATAAGAACTACTTATTTCGAATTGCATTCTGAGTCAACGCAATACTTGGATAGCTGCGTTTAGCGCAGCCCTAACAAAAAGTTTTTCTCTTCCTCAACATTTCATACGACAGTCGATTTTTCCAGGCGGGAATGGCACCCATTTCTGAACACCCTTCTTTTTTATCAGTCCCCCTTCTTTAGGTGTGACAATTTGCCACGATACTTTTCGCTTAAGCCGCCCCGATAATTGCGGTGTCAGTAGTCAAAAACTACTAACTTTCAACTTCCAATAGGGCATACACATTACACGGGTCAATTCAAATCTCCGCTTCTCGTACAAAGCCTGACGCAACAAAATCATGGTAGGATCATACCTTTTTCAAAGCTTGCTGCGCTTTTTCCCAAGCAGTGTTCCCTTCGGTCGATGGTGGAGGTGGCGGGGCACTGCCTGGCATAGGAATTGATGCCAACATGTCCTTTCTGAAAAAAGTAAAAGTTGTTGATTGTCGCCACAATAAGAGAGTAAATGAAAATAACAGGTTTCCGATGGGCAAAAAAGCTGCCATGCGCCCGGCTAAGGTCCTAAGTTTACCCCAACGCAGCGAAGCCTTCCACGCCTTCAGAGTCAGTAATTCAGTAGAGGAATCGTCTGCGATGATAAAAACGTGTACTTGTACAACAAATGACCTCCGAGCTGGAAAGGCCGACTGCGCATTCAAAAGCCATTTGATTCCGAATGAAATCGAGTGCATGGCACGCCTCGGAAGATTGACCTATGATAGATGCCTTTGTATTTTACCCACATATGCCCATAGTGTAATTCAACGAAAATGATGTGACATTCAGGAGTAGATATATTTGGCGTCCTAATTACGAATACGAGATTCTTTTATAAAGAGCGCTATTCAAGGCCTATTTCCCTCTCCAGAGCGCTCTTCCCTACACATACAGCTTGAGACTAAGCTTAGGGGATAGAGGGACTTCGGAATGGGTAAACGAGATACGGGTGAAAACACATGTGGCTTGGATGACGGACGTTTGGCTCGTCACGCGCGGCTTCGGCCACGGTGTGGTATCGCAGCCTGCGTCTATGGACTTCATAAACTCGGTTCTTCGAACCGCCATCATTTGAAGATCCTGCGTGCGCTCTCTCATCTTGACACTAAGCTGTTCATGCTACTGTGACCTCACAAACTCAATTTTGACTCGCCCGTTTCCCTCCCCTCCAAGGCTTAGACTTAGAGCTCTCAACTTCTCCTTGAGATTTGGAGCCAAGACAGACTCTCACCGTCTGGTTTACCTATGGCGGCTGAATCGTCGAGGAAAGTCCAAGTAGTCCGATTGTTCGACACCGCGCAGGTTGGCGCGCAGTTTGCCGCGCGCAGCCCCGAACACACCCAAGTGGCTTACTCAGCTCAGAGCCTTCCTCAGTCCTGAACCGCGATGGGCAAAGCTTCGAGGAGAAATAAAGTTTTGAGATTTTGGGGTTGTAACAGCAGTTGGATAGTAAGGGTTTTCCATATGCGTGCATACCTTTATCTAACAAGCCCAACAAAAAACGCATAAATGGACTAAAGTGGCTAAGCATCTGCTGCACAACTTAACTGCAATCTCATTCCAAAGCAACGTACTCGAAGCTGAGGAACCGTCTTTGGGCAAATTTCACAACGCATTTGTTGTGGGATTCGTAAAACACATAAACCTTATGAAACTCACCCGTCAGGAAACATGACCGGTACCTGTCGGTGTTGTATGGAAATGAAAGCTAAAATCGAAGACCTGAAAACATAGACTATCACCAATGCATATCTGAATCAAGAGAACGTTTCAGGAAAAGCGTTTCACAATGCAATGTAAAACAGCCACTATGCAAAACAACAAGGAACGACGAATCGAAAATGAGCACCCAACCAACCGACAAGCGATCGATAGCTATTAAAGGTGCCTTTATGTCGGGTTCGATTGGGGCGCGGAATTTTCAAGTGATGGAGCTGCCGTGAAAAAAAAAGCTAGCAGTCCACATTTGACCCTCTCTCACTGTTCTGTGACAGCTGATCTTCCATATGAGAGGTCCCTGAGAGCCCGTCGGGACAACTAGACAGATCGCCGTGGAACTCCTTCTATCAGTCGCGAGAAAGGCCGTCAGGGTTCTTTCTAACCGCCTGAGATTCGCAGGAAAAATGAAGAACCGTTGTAACACTCAGGTGAAGATAACTTCAAGCCCTGCGCTAGAAAGGAATCTGCACATGTGCTCCTTCTCTCCGACAAGGATATCTCACCCCCGAATTATCTATACTTGCCTTATAAGTGTCTAGCCTGTTCCAATTTAAAGACTGTTGCGGAAAAAGCGCAATCCCATGCTCTCATGGATCACCTGTCAGGCGGGGTTGAATCCGTGCGATTGGCGCCTGTGTCCGGCTGGGTTCCGAAAAGAGTAGCCTCAAGAACACGGCTGAAACTCTAGGCAGGAGATCCGATCGGCCTTGATTTGGTATCAGCGCCGATGATCGGCTCCTGTAGTGGTTCTGTGCGATTAAGTCTTTCCCTAATTAAATTCGCAATCCTTGAGCAGCATGCTAAAAAGGCCAAGCCTGAGGCAGTTGATGCTGTTGTCACAAAACCTCTGAAGGAAACCCCAAGTCCCTAGAGCGCCTTGCTCCGCAGGAAGCGTTTGAAGGTTCAAACAAACGAAGACTTGGAGTATAAGTGAAAGAAGAGGCTTGCCACGTACTACATTTGGTCCGTGACCTCGCAAACTCAACTGTACACTTGAAGTGGAAACGAAAGCTTCGACAATCTCTTATTACCTTCCTTTACACATGAAATACATCAATATTCATAATCAACAAAGCGGAAACCAGTAGATCGCGTTCGAGCTTGCACGGGCGACGAACTGTCACGAATGGTCGGCTCCTCGCTCGTTCTCCAGCCGCAGCATGTCGCCCCGTACGTGGAACACCTCCGGCCAACCTCCGAACTTCACGTCGTAGCAGCACGAGTCGCCATAGGCATGAAAAAATCAGCGATTTTGAAAGCTCTTTGGATACAAAAGGTATAGACTGAAGTTTGACTAAATTGACTCAAAGGAGGATTCCACGATAAAGTCTGAGGTTGTAGAATGGGAAACTCACTCAGTTGGAAGACCGGCCCCCCAAGTGTGTGCGGCACAATGCGCGTTCCGAAGCGAAGGGTATGTCCCAGCAGCGAAGCAGGGCCATAACCGCTCCGCTCCGCCTCTGCACACCCACCGATATGTTAATCCCTCGCCGTCTGACTCTGACCGTGGTAGCAGAGAGAGCGCTGGTATTGAAGAGGGCAGCACTGATGAGGGCCGCTTCAATACGGAAAGAAGAGCAAAGGAGGGGCCCCAGTTCACGGATTCTGAGCAGTTACTCATGACTTTTTTCATCGTAAACTCTGCTTTTGATCCACACTCCCGTAACCTCTCTGTAGTGACTGGGCCAGTAAGGTCGGCTGAAGGAGGGACTTGAGACCATTTCTAATTACTCTCACCTGTTTCATTTCTCATCATTATTTAAATATCAAATCAAATTCATTTATCACCTCGCCTACCTTAATAATTGTTCCAGTACAGTGAGTGTGACTATGAGGGTAATCAAAAATACATCTGTTGCTTGTCACTTCCCTGGTCACGTGACACCACGGGCAACTGTGTTCCTCCATTCCTAAACAGCAAAGAATCACATGGTCATCCGAGAATACGCCACGCATGCTGCTTAGATCATCGAATGCAGTACAGGTTTTTGACAGTTTTGAGCGCAGTGGCCTTCCAGAGAACTAAGGGTCCAGTTTCGATGATCCCTGCTCCTACATTGGGCACCAAAAACAAATCGAGTTTTGTGGGAGGAGGCTCAAAGTTGGCAAATTGGGCGACAAAGATGAAACTCGCCTTGGATTTCCCTGAACGCATTCAAGCACAACGGCAACTTCTCCGTTGAGCCGTCGAAATGGATCCCTATGTCCGAGCAGAGACGGCGAATATCCGGATCTCTGAAAAAGGAAGTTGTTTCGGGTTTGAGCCAAAGTCGTGGACTAAAGAACGCCGCTGTCACCCAAAAGAGTGGAGGCCAGAAGAGCGACCACAACAGTCAATGCTCACCTCCACACGACGCTCTCACCAGCGAAGAACGGTCCGCGATGGGATTCTTCGTATTTCAGTTTTGTAACCAGTGGTTCGATCCCATAGTACTGAACTCGGAACTCTTAGCAATCAAGGAAACCTAAAAAGCTATTCGGCCGTGGCAGAGAACGGCAAACCTCAGCCTCGTCCCTGATCCGCTCGAGATCGGACGCGCTCCGAGTCAGGCTGATCTTCCCGTCACGAAGATACTGCAGCACAGCGGGGAACGGCTCCGGGTCCCGATCTATGAAAACCGGATCGTTGCGTTTTTCTTCAGCAAATGCCTGATGAGAGCAGTGCGCCTCCTACCAGCCTGAAAACAACTCGAACGTTTTTGGGGAAAGGACGTAGTGGAAATGCCTATAACAATTCGTCATTTTGAAGGGGTAAACTGACTCGGCTAGTTTGCTTGCCCCTTCCAGGGTTCGTACGCTCGTCTCAAAGAGTTGCCCACCGACATTCAGCTTGACCCTCGTAGACATTTCTACAAACAAAGAATATTGCCGAGTAAGGAAGGCGATTACACAATAGCTCCGAAATGCAGAAAATCGAAGTTGGCTGGAAGCCAAGTTTTTTAGCGATAGCACGGTTGCATGAAGGTTACAGAACTACGACCGACCGCTCTACCCAAGATCGCTAGTCCACCTCTGTGGTAAACCTACTACATGTTGCTCTTCATCTACACTACTTGACCCATTTTTAAGCTTAGGTGATGACCGCGAGAATTTCAGAAAACTCCACGTACGGCTTTGAATGAACCTCGGCATAATGTGGCTTGTTGTTATTTTCTTTGAAGCTCCTCACGAGGTTGGCCCAGTTCTCGATGAGGTTAGCACTTGCATAAGGAGGTGTCTGAGGAGGTCTGGTTTAGAGAACACAGTTGCCATTGTAAATATGTGCCACCCCACAATCTGAAGCACCGGCTTGTACGAAATCGCCTCTACGATCGCCTATGTACGACGCCCAATTGTGTAGTTTGTCCGACTGGCAGGGAGGGCGACTGCACCATCTCAGGGGTGGTCTATAAAATCACTTGTTGTAGGTGTGGTGAGGAATACATCGGCGAAACGGCAAGGCCGCTCTGTGTTCGAGTCAAGGAGCACTTGGAGGGCAAGAAGAGGTCACGGCTATCGACTGCCTTAGGGGCCCACAGGGTTCAAATGCACAACGGGGACGACTTCGAGGTCAAGGTCGAGGTCATGGCGCAGGAATCGCAGACCGCCGCAAGGAAAACACTCGAGGCATTCTGGATTCAGGCCACTAGTCCACAAATGAACCGGAGGGAAGAATGTCTAACAATAACGCGGGAATTGAGGCCCTATATAAGGTTGGCCTTCCACCTGTGACTTTGAATCACAAACAGTCCGATCGCCTCACTGCTGTTCTTGTGGTCTCGACAACTGGACTGTATTACGGTAGGTGGCCCACCTTTGGATTGCGTGATGAGTTGTTTTGGTCTCGAACTTCAGTAGGGTTGCTGAGGCATTTGATCGGGTAGTCATAAATTGATTCGACTCTTTCAGGCTCTGAAGAAGGCGATCCTCGCCGAAACGTAAGCCCAATAAAAGTTATTTGCCAACCTCGTGAGGAGCTTCAAAGAAAATAACAACAATTTCAGAAAACGTTGTTTTAAGGAGAGACACGGAAGCGAATTGGTGGAAAACCGTTGATAAGCGTGTGAAAAACGCCACGCTGAAGTGGGAGCCGCTTATCAGCACTTCCATCGCTTCAACAGACAGCTTACAAGCGCGTGGGCGACCTCTTCCGACCGATTACCATCACAACCCCAAGGAAGGGGGAATTTTTGAGTTTTATAGCTTGAAGGTGTATTGGTGGCACGACCGACAAAGGGTTTGTCATGAAAACTTCACATAGAGTCGATCTTAAGTAGTTAAAGGAGAAATTCACGATAAGAACGAAGGTCAAAAAGGGAAAATGGCATAGTCGGGAGACAAGCGGACCTCCTGAGAGTGCTGGCCGCCGCGCAATTCGCGCAACGACTTGATCGCGATCTAGCATGGCTCACTCCTGGCGCGGTTGGCTGTGCACTCCCACCGACCATTTAATCGCTCACCGCAGGCCTATACGTGGCCAGTGATTACATAGCAGAGAGAGCGTAGTGTTGAAGAGGGCCATCCCGTGGCATCTCGTAATCTTTGTTTCCATATTTCGAGATTAGAGTATTTTGAACTTCTTGATTACTATTTTGGGAGCTCCCCCCCCCAAACCGTTGTTTAGCATTTAAATCTCCGTTGCGTTTAATGGAATTTATCCATTTCTAGCAAAACTCCTCCAAGAATGCAAGCCACTTACGCACAATTCCTGCCGGATCCGTGATGAAGCCCCCAATGTCATCACCCGTCGAAGCGCCCTCGCTCAGCACTGCTTGAATGACCAAATGACCGCCGCAGTTCGCTTTTGGAGGTGAAATTCAGTCCAATGTCCAATCACACGTCGCAATCGGGGCGTGCAAAGCTTTCCACATCACCTTTGAAGCCGCCACACCCACTTACATTTGGATTAAAGCTGTTTCTGACTCACGTCCAAAGTCGTCCACCTTCTAAAAATCTCTGTGTTGTCTCATTTGTTGGCATTGAGCAATCAATCAAGCTTCTCAATTTTCGCGTCTAATTTCAAGTAACCGCTTGAGCACTCATTTTTGCTAGTCTCGCTTCATGATCATGGTGGAAGCTGGGGTGGTTTGACTGCTAAAAGGGAGAATTTGACAGTCATCAGGGAGAGTTTAGGCAGGTAAGTGGAAAATACGTGGAGGACGCGCTTCCACCGACCTAATGGGCAGGGTCTTGCTCGTTGTGTGCCCCGCCTTCGTACATGGTTCTACCGCCTCCCATTGGCTGTTCCAATCACTAGCCTTGTTCGTGTGAGCTCCACATTTGTAGCAAAGAGGCAGAGCACGGCATTCACTCCAGCGATACAAGTTACTGTTAAAGAGGATGTCACGATAAATTGGATGTGGAAGGATTCCCTACACAGAGACGACGGGCCCCCGAGGAAGCGAGAAGAGGCTTGCATCATGACGAAGATCGCCTCCTTCGCCACTTAACTAATCCTGACCGTGGAAAGCGCCACCGGCCCTCCTCATTATGGAGAACTCGGGCTTTGATTGGTCGAGTACTGATACTGTTATCGCCTTCTTTTTGAAAGGAAATTTCATATGAAGCGGTTGTATGAGCTTTTTGAGGTATGCGTATCAGTAAAAGGATGTTTTTTGGCATGATACCGGCTATCGGGATTACCACGTGCAACCAGCTCGTTTGGTCGCTTACCCATCCAAATTGGAAATCAACGGATAAATGGGATCCCGTTCCTCGGGTCTAATGCCGTTTTCTCTAGGATTTTTTTGGCAAGTGCTTACCCTATCACCTCTACTTTCAGCTCCAATGGGCAACGGTTTTTTTGTGACGTCCGCTGAAATCTCGTTCAGCACCAAAATCAACGGGAAAACCAAAAGTGCCATATCGCGGGTTTTGGACCGTTTCTCTTAACTTCTTTTCCATTGGTGTGTCACACCTTCAATGGTCATATTTGAAATTAGTGTGACCACTTTTTGAAATGTTATACTTTCGCTAGACTGTGCAAAGGTGCACACGATTCTGGTCGACTTCTACCTAATTTGCTCCAGGTCGAAGAAGAGTAGCGGTCCCTCTCAACTTTTTTCTTGATTGCCGAAATCGAAGGAAACAGCCAGTTTCCGTGTTCATTTCGATGTCGTCCGGCGGGCTCTGCCAGTCTTCTTGGCCTATTGATTTCAATCCATCGGCACAGGCGCATGGACCGCTCCCCGCCCCTTCGACGGGCCGCTCTGATGGTCCTCAATCGAGGACCGCATTAGGCGCATCACTAGTTCTTCTGAGTGCCACCACCTGAGCCTGTTGAACCCGTCGGAATGCTTTGTTCTTCTCCGCGGGCTCTACTACAAATCGACATTTCCGCCGCATTCCGCTAACTAGCAGTAGGAAGCATTTCTACAATTTGCCCATCTTTTTTGCCTTCCAAAAAAGGCAACATGAAGGTTTTGACCGCTTATCACGGATCTCTTCATGACTGACATTAGGAATTATTTGGAGTTTTCTGGGGCTTTCCTTCATTCACATCAATTTCCTCTCAAATGCCATATCAAATTGGTGACCTCCGGAAGACCACCTTCTCCAAGTTTTCGCTTCGCAAAATTTCGCCACCAGGCTGATAGCAGCTGTATTTCACAACGTTGACATCTTTCTGCACAACATTGTCCATTGGAATTCATCTCACGAATTCTTGCGTGTCTGCCCTAGAAAGGGCTACGCTTTGTGATCCTTTTTTGTTTTCATCTATTAATTTCCCTGAGGATTTCGATCAAAGAGCCACCTAAGTTTCACTTGTTGCTACTTCCCCTAAATGGTTTTTGAGATCAGTAATGGTTCATTAGCTAAATCTGTGTATCGAATCCCTTGACAAGACTTGTTGATCTTCCATTTTTCATGGGACTACTTAGGTGTTCAAGTTTTGGGCTGATTGGGGTCCGTCAGATGTAGGTATAGGTCAGTGCAGGAGCGCGTCCCCCTGGATTTCACCCCCACGATTTCGCCTCACTGATGCACTGTTTTGGTTTCGAAAACTCTGCCCTTACCATGTTTACCCATTCCATTCACCCCTCTCTACTAGACATCGAACACCGAAAATAAACAGCTCTCGAAAAGGACCTCCCAATGACACTAATTTGACATTCGCGTTTCTCTGAATCCTCTGCTCCGATCGTAGCGCAATATTGGTCGTTCTGGGTTGGTTTCGTTCTCGACAAAACGTACCCAACCCCTAGCCACCATCGATTCAGGAGCGATTGCTGGTAATTATCCATAGCGCCATGATGAATGACAGAACAGCAACAGGCCAATGGCATGCCTAATGTGCGATTTCGTTCCCTCCAAACAGGAACAAAATCGAACAGCATTCATCTTTCCAGGAAAAAAAATTGAGCAGTTTCTGTGAATACCGTGGTTGAAACCCTGGGTTCTTCAAAAAGGTTAGGGATACGGTCCAGGTAGCTCAGCTTCGGGCCTTTTTGTCCGCCGACCAATAGTCCACTTCAAGGTGATACGCAAATATTCAGAGTTTACCTTTGAAAAAAGTAGCATCAGCGCGTTTAAACTGTGCTTTGACGCCCCAATTAAGGCAGATTCAATGAGTGGGTAAGGGTGCACTTTCTTTCCAGAGGAATATTCTCACAGACTTTAGGCCTTACAGGATTTGTTTCCGCACCTCGCAACGCAAACCAGCAGGACACCATGCGCAACCTGAAGAGGCGAGTTTGGACTGCAATTTCGTAAGGAACAAGCTGTTCCGCCACGCGCGGCAAGCAGCTTATCTACACGGCGATAATTTTAATTTTTGAATCCTCACAAACTTTACTTCCTTCTCGGAGTGTAGTACAGTACTTAAAAGCTTACGTTATTACCACTTGCCATCTTGACCACGCCAGGAGGATATTTCTCGCCTGAAACTGTGGAAGCTCTATTCAGCACAAAAGTACCCGAAAGAAGTAGGCACGTACTGTACTATTGGTGCAATCTGTACTGCAAATCCTGCCACATCAACTGAATCTGGCTGGGTTCCGATCGATTCAATTAGTGAACCACACCACAGCTTACGCATCAATGAGAGCTCGTGCCAGGCCCAAATTTTCAACCTTGGGGCCCACCAACTTCGTGCCGCTCCCATTTGTTGAAGTATTTTGCCTCTTCCCTAAGCCTTAGTCTTGGTTTGTGCAATCGCTGGTCCGACGGGACGGCCCTTCAAATATCTGCATTATTCTTCTCCACTCCTCTTTTTATGACGACTGTTTCAGCTTGGCACCAGCTTGTTTATTATTGGACAGATTTGGTTTGCCCTCACTGAAGTCCACAGTCTATATTACGGACAAAGTGCTCCGTGGAAGCAGTGAAAAAATTGAATTTATGGTGGGTTCATTGCATTCGGGAACCTTCCAACGGCACGTATCAACAAGTAAATTCAAACTTTGTAACAAATCCAAGGGTAAAGCCTCGCACATGGCGCAGTCTGAGTCAAGCATTTCTGTAGCGATAGTATTTTACTTACCTAGACGGGAGGGTAGTATAAAGCGAGGTCACGGGGTTTACGGAGATATGACGGTGACGAAGCGAATGGACTTTTTGGGAATCCATTTTTTGTTGTTAATAGTATTGCACATAAGTACTCCCCCTTGATACCCGGATATTCCAAGAAATGTGGATGGCAGTTGAAGGAGAGTTAGTCGTAAGTGAGTCCCTCTTGACCCAAGATTGTCCTCCACTCTGGCTTCACACCTACCCACACGATTCGCCTCCCTGTAAAATTCACGTGGCTAATGCAACGGCCGAAGGGCATTCAGCCTCGTCCCTCATTCACGGTTACCAAATTACACCCGAGTGACGCCAACAAATTGCTACATCTGAGCATATCGACCGCCTCCATACGTGTTTGGCATATTTCTCGAAACCATCGAAGGACTCACCTGGAATGAGTGGTTTAATTCGGTTTTCTATCTGTTTACCACCCCTATTGTGTCGTTTCTTCATATGACGGTCTGCCAGAAGCATTCTGCGTTTATTCTTGCAATAGCCCCAGTAGCCTCTGACCATGAGCGGCTCGGCTCATTCGACGCATCAGCACTCCCTGGAGAATACCAGTGAGCCATCCTGTTGCGTGAGGACACTCGCCCGTCGATATTAGTTGAGAAATCGTCTGCGGCACGAACAAGACACCACTGGATGTAAGGGCGAACTTGGTTAAGGGCAACCATCTGGGGCAGTGTGCATTCTGAGGAGCAACAGAAATAAGATAATTAAACCAGGGAGGCTCCAAGGAGGATAACTCAGGTTCCAGGGCATTTGAACTAATTTCAAGTTTAGCCAGAAACATCAAATCCAGATGAGATCCGTTAGTTGGGTGAGTAAAGCCCCCTGGTACTTGAGTGCAGCCACCTATGGTAATAGAGGGAATAAACAATAAAAGCAATCAGGAATGAGTCAAAGTAGTAGCCACCTAATTACGGGAACAAACTGCCATTTAGTCCATGCGACACGAATCCTGACCAGACTGCGATCGCAGAGCATTACAACCATCGACGCATTCCTGCTGGGAAATCCTGATCAAGGATCCATTAGAGGCCACAGTAATTGGAATGGGTCGAAAAACCTTGATGAAACTTTCGAAAGGGAAACCACTGAAGCAGGTAAGCTGCTAATGGCTCACACAGCAGTACGCACATTTTTGTGTGACCAGTCTTTCCCAAACCCACGTCGAAAGCCCAGCCGTGCCACCTCATTTCCACTTTTTATCCTTTAGAAAAGCTGAAAAAACTTTTCTCCCTTGGTCAAACGTGCAAACTAAGTATGACCCCATCGTCAAGGAATTCTCGACGATGGGGTCATATTCAACTCAATGAAAGGTGAGGTCGTAACTGGTGGGACTTTCAATGAACAGAGCAACGGAAACCTGTTCAGAAGAGCATGGGAATCGCCACTCGCGGCTGGATTATCGCTATCGACAAGTCATCTAGGAGAGATGTTAGGGTCCTTGGTAGTGTGATAACGCGCGAAAAAGCGCGTGTCATTTACAGCGCCCCATTCCTATTTCCGATTGGTTGCTATTGGGGCAAGTTATGGCTTTTGAGAGCGTAAAAACTCGCAGATCTCGAAAATTTTACTGTCAGTTCTACCGTGGCATTCATTTACCATTTTACTTCATGAAGTTAACAACTGTCAGAGAGTGCGAGCCGAGGACCTGTCAAGTTTTTTTTTTCCAATTGACAATTCTTTCTTTTCAAGAAAGTTGCAGCTGTTAGAAAATGACCTCCTAGTTTAGCTTCTGCTCTGGGACTGACGGGCGACATGGGAGGAGGTCGTATTCCAGAACTTTCCTACAACGCCTCACTTATGCCTGCTTCGTCCTGCTCTCTTTGTTCAACAATTCCCGGAAAAACTGTAGTTATCCACGTTTGCATACCACTACAGCTTTGCAGCTACACATTGTTGTTTACTTACAGCCTTTGAAAGGATCAAAGGGCTTAACTGCAAGCGGAAAGAGCAGAATTGAACCCCCTTGCTAATGAGCAGACTTCCAGGCAACATCCTACTAAGCCGCTCACCATCAGAGTAGTGAAAGGCAGAATTGTTTCTTTGCGTCGCATACCTCACCTTCGTTCAGGACTTCCAAGAGAGCTTTCCAAACGTGCTTTTGGGTTCTGAATGCGGGAAAGCCTCGCCGAGGTTGTTCTTGCGGGAAACTCAATTCCCTGAAGGGGAAACAAGGCGATATTCTTATTCAAAAAGGCAAAAATCCACCATGAATAACGACCCCAAGATGCTGTGACTCATCTGCAATCAGCATTTTCAGGGGCTGCGACATCGACGATATATCCATTTGTGAACGGATGGTTAACATTGAAGTGCTTTCATTGAGGTGGGGTTTTGCTTGCGTATTTCTCAATGTCATCCTAATAATTCTTCGGATTTCAGCGTTAACCGCGTCGAAACGCTGCAGCCTCTACGCAACTGTACCCGATTAGTGGAATTATATTTAAGGAAGAACAATATCGAAAGCCTGACCGAGCTCGAGTATTTGAAGGTACGTAGCCCTGAGTGAATTCGAAGTTTATTGCGCGGTTTGTAAATTTCATGGCATTTCACTGAATGAGGTACTCGTAAGAATCTTTTGGCTCTTACATTACCCTCAACCAGTCCAAGGGCAAGGTATGGAACGTTGCTCCTCTTATCAACTTTCGAGGAATCGAATAACATGAGCACTCAGCAGCAAGCTGTGCTATATTTGACCAAAAAATTGTCAACTGAGATCCTGTCCAAAGCCAGGTGTCATGAGAACGAAGGGTGAGGCCATCACTAACGCCATGGCAAGGTCCTTGCCACTCAATTAGTGACCGCCGCAAGTACAGCTCCCGACACCTCGGAACTTATTCATAGGTTTGTAATGGAATCATTTGATATGATAACCAAACAGCCCCAGCAAGGCCGGGTTCTTGCGTTCTCCTTCACACTCGACGCGCATCTTCCATTGGCGCTGACTGGCAGATGTGGCCCTCACTTTGTGCAGTACCACAACTGGTGCTGAAAACTATGCTGAGAGCCAACTAGTTTTCACGAAGAAGTTACCTCACTAGACTGGCAAAGCAACGAGTGGGAGGATTACTGCCCGCGAGATTCATCAAAAGTGTTTGGGGGTTAGTGTTGCGTCAGATTTATATACCTACTTAATTGCTCATGTAACTCTAGCCAGACGCGAGGTGGACGATATCACAACAGGTCTCGCAACGTTTGGTGGTTTCATTGTGGTGACGAAAGGTCGAACTTACGACACACCTGGCGATTGCTGGTTTTATGGCACGCGTAAGGATAACCGGTGTTCAAATCGCGCCTAAAAGTGCTGGCGAAGACGTATTTCTACTGCACACGAACGTCGGTGTATGAACGCGAGGGATTTTATGAGTTGCAGAATGGCTCATAGCGATGACGCGTCGATGAAGATTATAGGTTCTTCGCCCACGATCTGAGTTTCTATACCCTCTGGACGGGGGGTTATTTCGCTGGTTATTGACTTTGTCGCCTTTCCTTTCGCATTAGAATTGCTTGAGATGTATGGCATATTCCGCTTCGCACCTGAAGTGTGACGCGAGTACCGTCGCCTCTCATGCTTTACAAGGAGTAGAGGACAGACATAAAGCAGGTACTGAAGCATAATCCGCTAACACCGTGGTGCCGCGCTTGTTGGATAGATAAAACACCGGCACTCCCGGGAGTACCTCTCTGTGACTGCAGGCTCGCGCGGCAGACGCCCGGTCAAAAGAATCTACCTTTCTTTCCTGAAACAATGATGAACTTGGATAGTATCTGATGCGCCCCAATCTTCCGGATCCCAAACTTTTGGATCCAAATCCAACTGTCGAACAATGCGGCGCGCAGTCGTCGTTGTCATTTGCAAATGGACTTTGATGAAAAACTCTTTCGCTAAGCTCCTCACAACTTGTTTGGTATTAAGCGAGTGCTAATGATGCTTAGCTATTAATTAGGGATCCTTTCAACAATGTCCTCAGGAAAAGCAAAAGTCAGAACTCGCCGGGAAGTCCATTCACGTCCTCTTACTCGCCGGCTCGTGCCGCTGCCACTGCACCGTTTCATAACTTCGTTCAGAGAATCGCTTTGCAGATTTGGAGGGCAAATTCGGGATCAGCGTTCAAAAACACATCTAGTGGTGTATGTCTCGTTACAAATGGCCACTTCGACCTGGTATCCCTTCCCTTGTCAGAACAGGTATGACCAGCCGCGGACGGACTCGGTAGAAGCACCCAGAACGGCCATGACGGAGTGCCAGTAAGCAGACTCAACGTTGTCTCTTGGCAACAGTTCGGTATTCTGTACCGATGTGCCTTGTATTCTTTTACCAAACAAGGTTGATAGGTGGAACTCGTCCATGGTCTTACATTCGCACTTCTCGTCTTCTTCAGAAGTCTAAATATGACTTGAGGCTTACGATTCCCAGTTGACTCAACCAATCGCCTGAGCGCGTGAGACGCAGATTTCATCAGGAGTGCTTCCGAGAAACATTCTGGACTTTTGCAAGATAACGTGGGCGAAACGAACGTTTGCCTACCGAATGTCTCTCTGTACGTTGTATCAGAATGGGAGCAATATAACAGCGATGTAATGCGGTGTCCGTCATTTGACGGCACATGACGCAGACATTTATCGAGGGTTGATTTCGCCCATTTCTAACGTTTCCTTCAGAGGGCGTGAGCCGATGCTTCGCGCATTCAGCGGAGTCTCTAGTGATTCAATCGTTTCTCGTTACTGACCCCTCTGGAGTGCTCTTGGCCACTTCAAAAACTGAAGAAGATGAGAGTCCAAAAAGCCAAACGCACAGCATTATTCCTAAAAAGCTCATCTGGCAAAAGAATCAAAATGTGCATGAAGCAGCGAAATTAGCTGGTAAATGAAAATGGAGGCATTTGTGCGCTCGATTGCGAATGCTGTACTCTCGCTTGAACGCTTTCCCGAAGCAGTCTGTAGTACATACCTTTTGAGGATGTTCCTTGCTCGCTCGAATGACCCTCCCAGGGATTCGCTGTAGGGTCGCAGAATTGAATTCTGGTAGGTGTTTTCACGGGGTAGTGTTCGGTATGGACAGTCATCGGGTTCCCAGCCTTCCAAAACGCGGCTTTTCTCGATATTTGAGAAGGAAGCCCCAAAAGGCCCGATTTCATAGAATTAAAGAGAATCACATTCGATTAAAATGATTGGCTGAAAGAGCTGAGATCTAGTAATTGCACGGGTTTATCGAGAAAGTTCTCTCTGCCCCAGGTGGAAATCACAACCGATTGATCCGTGTTCTTTCGCAGGACCTACGCAATCTTCGAGTGTTGTGGATCGACGAAAACCCGTGCACCCGATCGGGCGACTATCGCCACCGCGTGCTGCGAATACTCCCTCAGCTGACGAAACTCGACGACAAGCGTGAGTTCCTCGTCTTATCATTATGTGAATAGTTAGATAATTGGAACTTGATCACTGGATCTGCATCAGAAGCACAAACATCGGGTGGATAAATTTGTTTAGATCTCATTTCCTAGGTCATAGAGGGCGACTCTGATGCCAGAAAGGCACCGGCAAGGTCGATTTCTAGCAGTAGTTCCTCCAAGAAAGTTTTCCAAACAAGATGTCGTTGCAGAGGCCGACAAAGATTAATTGGGAAGAGGAATACATGCATTGACTAGAGGTCCTAGCCAAGCAGGGAGTCTTTCTATTCATTTTGGCTTTCGCGGTGTGACTCGCTCTCTCCAGTCTTCGGCGTTCACGATAAAAAATTTCGTCCACCTTCTTGAAGATATGGCACGATAACCTGCCGTCTGGTCGGGAAGTAGAGCTGTTAGAAAGAGAAGCAGTGAAAAAAAACTAATAAAACTAATAGAGACGGCCTGCAATCCCCAAACCTTCCTAACCAGACCCCTCTTTTTGCCTCTTTGACTTCCGTAGTGGGCGAGACTCATCGTACTGATGTAATGAACGCGGCTCTGCTTTGCCTATCTGATAAAAGGCCAGAGTTCGACACCGATGGGCAGGGAGCCATCCGATTCGGGCAGAGGTAAAAAGGCGTTTCAGAGGGAGAGATGAAGCCTTGTTACTTCGCTGCGAGGCCTCCTTTGCAGCAAAAGCGTCATTGTCGGGTATTCGACAGGAGGGCCGTCGCGCGGCCTGAAGGCAAAGACGCAGAAAAGGTCAGCGGACGAGTCGCAGCGCGTACGCGTACTACAGTGATTTGGCGTCAAATCAAATAGAATGCACTATAGTACGCTCCACATCGTAAGAAAATCGTTCAATTTTTCGTCCCATCTGACTTTAAGCGGACAA